TTCAAAAATAAGAGCCCATTTTTGTGGTCATCTGTTTTTAAATCCTGCATAGCATTCTCAAAGTCTTAACCTGCTGCTTCCTATTTCAAGGGTAATACTAATACAGAGATGAATTAAAGTTTTTGAGAGGTCTGCTCATGGAACAGAAAAAAAAGTTGCTTAACACCCTCTTTCCCACCTTCCCTAGAGTAGATTCCAGAAATTTCCTATTGGAAAAGTATAATCCTCAACTGAGCTGTAAACATTTTTGAGTCACTTATCATGATCTTGGCAATTTAGTTTGTATTATGCTATAGATGATTTTTGATGTGAGATTTACCACCCATTTATACAATAACAAGAAAGGAAATCTATAGGCAACAAATAGGGAAATCCATGAAATAACTCTACATCAAAGTCCTCTTCGATTCCACTCTGAATGCAACTGTGTTTTGCTTAGAATGTCCATAATTGCTATAATTAGTAGGCAGGCGCTCACCAGAGGAGAAATAGGAGATTTCAATCCATTCATTGGCATTAGGACAGATCCTTTAAAAAAGCCCCCTTGTCCAGTGCTAAATTTTGGACTGTCACTGATGCAGATCTGAAGCACACATTTTCCCTGCCTGGCTTCATTTATAACAATATCCATCTTTACTCAACAGAGATTGCTGGGTTTTAAAATCATGATCTAAACCCAGCAACAAACCCCCCTGGCCACCCTTCCTCTTCCCCACCCCCTGTCAAACCACGTGGCTGCTGCTGCTCTGGGGCACGTCTGGGGGCCCTCAGGGCCACCCTCCTGCCTTGCTGTGATTCTTCCAGCCTTCATCCCATTCCCTTTGTTTTAAGGCCAGTTAATTTTCTTATGGAATAATTGTAACCTCTCCTGTGTGCACAGACCCCAAACTGGTCCCCGTGTGCCCACAGCCCTGGGTGCTGCCTCGGGGCATCTGTTCAGTGAGTGATGCCCATGGATGCCCGGCATCCCCCCACCACAGCTCAGTGACCTGCAGCCCTGCGTGGCTGCTGAGAGACAGAAACACCACCAAAGCCCCAGAACAGCAAAGAATTAAAATCCCACGTCTTTTTCCTGCTGTAAACCAATGTTCTATCATTTAAACACCCGCTTTATTCATTATCAGCTATAATTCACGTACGCTGGTATTTCAGCGCACTCCCATGCTGTGCAGCACTGGTTTTCCCTGCCCTGGTGGCACAGAGCCCCCGGGGTGACACGAATGGTGTCCCCCTGGGCCCTCAGCTCACTGGGGTGCAGGGGCTGAGCTCCCTGGCAGGGCTGGCAGAACCCTCCCCGTGCTCAGCGACGCCAGCCAGCACACACGCTTGTGGCACATTAATATTCGCACAACAACCCCCCTCCAATCAGTCTTTGCTAAAAGCATTAATTAAGACTTTAACATTTCTGATCCCATCAATTTTCTGTTCTCTTCTTATTAAATAGATGTACTAGGGGAGTTTGAATAATAACTGCCCAAAGTTTGGGGATAATGAATAAATGAACTTTGCCAGCCTCTGGCTAAGCATGAAATTTGCTGCGGAGTAACAAATGCAACGGAGGCAGCTCATACATTAACCAACCTAGTTTTGACACACCAGTTTGGGAGCACATTATTTACTTACTTACTAATTCTAAGTGAGACTAGGCTCCAAAATGTTTTATGCAGGAAATGACAAATGACATGTTCAGACAGTCTTTTGCACTCTCCATCACAGCGTGAAGCTGCTCACTCACCCATCTTCCTTTCGGTGGGTCTGGCCCTCTTGCCATGCACAGCGAGGCTTTCAGCACTGCAGACTTCATTTGCCTTGGGACTTTTGCCAGAAAAGGAGCACACCAGGAACTAGCTAATTTTTGTTTTTACTTGGTAGGTGTTGGCACTTTAAAGGTCAGCTGTGTGCTGTGAAACTACTTTTGCTCCATGCATTTTTACATGTACATGGCTCTAGCCTCAGCTCTGTTACACTGCTTTAAATCCATTCATTTTTGTAGAAATCCATTAACTCGCAGTGAATTTATGGCAGTATAACTGTGAGCGAGCTGTGGCTGATGGCGCAGACTGGAAATATTACAAGGAAAAGTGCAAAGTTCTATTGATTTTCTCTCAGGAAAAATGTGTGTTTCCTTATGATTATATTACAGATGACTCAGCTCTGGCCCCTACCAGCCATCACTCATGTTTCCCAGCTCAGCTGTTGGCTGGCTGTGCGAGGAGCCGCTGCCTGTGCTGTCCCCACTGCAGGGACCGGGGGCTGCTTTCCCGGGTGCCTGGGCACACACCCACCCCACCCCCCGTGCTGGAGGACTCTCTGCCTGGCTTTGCATGGCACTGCAGGAGACGCACCGCCCCTCCACAGCTCTGCAGTCCAAGCACTTACTCCTAATCGATTCTGACAGCAGACACCATGAGGAATGCTGAGATTTATGAAATAGCAAGATTTGCCACTAGCCTCTGTCCATTAAGGGTACAGCAAAACCTCTCTTTACCCTTTGTAAATACAATCAGCAGAAGTGAGGCAGTTGCCCTTTTCAGAAGAAAGAGCACTCTCAAAGGACAGATGTTTTAGCAGAAGTTCTTAACACACTCACAAGCAATAAGGCTCCAAATTCTTTACCATTTTTCTTCAAAATGTTGCGCATTCCTTTAAGTGCTTTTTAAAGACTAAATACTGTACTGAGAGCTGTAGCCTCCCCTTTAGCCAGTTGTTTTCCCTGTGCTACAGGAATATAAGGCCAGTTTTAGACTCTGTATTTTGAAAAAAAAAAAAAAAAAACAAAAAAAACTGGCCTGAATGTGGAAACCACAGTCCCAAAACTGGGCTGCAGGGGTCAGGCTCCTTGACTCACCCTGCACATTTTGGAAGGCACAAATATAGGGAAGGTAAAGGTAGAGCCAGGTTATCTTGGCAGTCTGATTCCTTGTTGAAGTTATTCTGTGAGCTGGGAGTGAGTTATCTCTGCATGTGTGCAGAGATTCACTGGAAAGAAAAGACTGCTCTTGTTAGATGAGATTTTTCATCAAATCCTCAGGTTATTGTTTAGTAGTTCTGAGGTTTTATGGTGAATTGGAATATAAGAATTGTTATTCCTACTGTGGCACACTTAATTCTGATCTCAGAAGGGATAAAAAAAAAGTTATTTTTAGTCCCAGATTTAATATTTTTTTCACCTTTAATGTGATTGAAGTCTAAAAGACCTTGATAATTCTACTCCTGTCACTGCACACAAAACTTGAAGTTGCTGCCACATCCCTGTGCAGGTAACAGGCTACAAAACGAAGGGAAGGGCAAACTCAAGATGGTGGATTTCCTCCAAAACACACAGTATTCAATTCCAGATACAATGCACTCCATAAGTGATGAAAGAAAGGTATCAGAGCAAAGCAGATGCCTGTTTACTAGGAGACCAGCTGAGGTGCTGCTGAAGTCTAAAAAGCAGCATAACTACTCCTAGATAGACATGCTCTACCGCTTCAAGTGCCAGCTACTTATTAAGATCAATTTCTAGGCAGTTTTCTTCTTCCACTTGTGGAAAAATTTTAGTCCTCTCCCTTAGAAGGAAGACGAGGCCCTGAGAAATATTCCCTGCCCTGAGGAAACAGCAGCAGTGATGATGAGCCGGGCAGAGGAGCCCCAGTCCAAACTCAGGTAGTTTTCACTTGCACCAGCCCTTGCTCTCCTGACATTGCAGACTCCACTTGTTCCTCTGCTGGAGTAACTGTCCTTGAACAAATTCCCAGACATGAATGCCAGCTTTAGACATGGGCTAGATGTGCTCCAACATGTAAATCTTTTTCTTCCACCTATCTTTTCCTTGCAGTTTATAAAAGCCTGGCCCTCCCCTGTTCATATGGAAGCCAAGGACTGTGTTCTTCAGCGTCTCATGCTCTGATGCACCTCCAGGCTTGCAACAACCATCTCCTGTGAATTCTTCCAGAGAGCACTTCTGCTTCTTGTGGGATGATTATGGATTATTCCCCAATCCACAGGGATCCTACAGCTGGCATTATTGGGATGAACCTTCTTGCAAAGATTTAACCACATTTGGATTCCCACAGTGAGTCTGCCCCAGTACAAGAGGGATTTTGCAATGAAGTAGCATGCATGAAACACAGATGTGCTTTGGTCTCAAACCTAGTGAGTGCGAGCAGCACAAATCCCTCACTCTCACTGGCAGTCCTAGAAAAAGGAAATTCTGATCGTCTGAGAATGATCCTCTAGAAGAGGACTCGGGTACAAGGTGAGGCAGGGGCATGTCCTGCTCCCCAGCTCTGCAGGCAGAGTCCTGCTGGCACTGGAGATGTCACTTTACCTTTTCCACAGGGAAGGTCCTTTCTAAAATGCCACTCAAATGAAAGGACAAGAGTCAGTGTCAGACATAGGAGATTTCAAGGCACTTCACTAAATTCAGCTAAAAGAGGTCGTGTTTCTTTACCAAGTCATCCCATTACCTCGCTTGAAAAACAAGTATTTTGGAACAGAAAAATAACTGCTGCATTTACTGTAAAAAAGCTTCATTAGAGCAAGTTCACTTGGGTAAGAAAAGGGACACAATTATGTATTTTTAGAAATCTGAATACATTTTAAACAAATCTTAGAATGAGGTCTAGGGAATACAACATTCTAGGTTGATTTATTTTTATTTTCATTTTCCACTACTTGAGATTCATCTTTTTTTCAGAGAAGTCTGGAGCAAACCAAAGCAACTTACCTCCAGTGCTGCACGCTGTCCCACTGCCGATCTGATAGATCTTGGATTAACTGCCCAGGGTTAACTGGTGTCACCACAGGAAAACACAGCTACAGCCTATGAGTAGCTGCCAGCACATTCTGCTGTAGGATTTGGCGTTAGGTGAGGGTGTCTGAAAAATAACTGATTTCAATTTTATCTTGTTTGTGCTGCTTTGTTCCTCAAGTCTCTGGGTTATAACAAGGTAGGGAACACATCCAGCCATGAAGCTTTCTCAGGGACCTTCAGGACACAGGGAGAGGCACACACATCTGTAAAAACTTTATTTCAAAATCTTTTTATTCAACTGTTATTCAGCAATATACAATACAGTTTATAAACAAATGTCTTACCTTGTTTCCAATCTTCATTTAAAAATAAATATTATTGACAGTGAATATTAATTATGGTAAGATGTACCTTTTTTTTTATGTCTCCAAAAGAAATAATTTAATTAAAAAAGAAAAAAGGAAATCCAAAAAACCTAAACACAATAATCTACTAAAAATATTTCCTTTCTTAGGAAGGGTTTGACCCAACATCTTTACATATTGTCATAAAGATAACTGCTCAACAGTTCGTGCAAAATGAAGAGTCAGAGGAAAGGTTTAGAAAAGAAAAAAATATTACATTAAAATAGAGAAATCATAAGTGCCATGCACAGAGCAGGGCTTTACACCATAGATTCTGGAAACTAGATGCATTATTCTATGTGATTTACTTTTCTGTGGCATCCCAAAAAATATGTTTTTCCCCCCCCATGTAGAATTTATCATGCTTCTTTCAGTCTCTTTCTGTCCATCTTTAAAACTGTAGGTATTTTTTTGTCAGGGATTCTGTTTGTTATTAAATAGGTTCCTTTCTGTTTGGCAGAGGAGGAGTGGAGGGAGTAGTCCGTCAGTGGTTTACTAATAAATGTACAAGCTTATGCAGTATTAACAGGGACATGTATAGGAGTGGGTCTGTAGCATAAATAGGTCCTGTACCTGGAAAAGAAAGAGACAAGGGAGAGAAGGAGATTTGATATTTTTTTATCTTTTCCAATACAGAAGATTAAATGCAGAAGAGAAATATAGGAAGATTTATTTTTATCACTTCAGTGCCAGGGGTCAGAAGCTTAATTTTAATAGTAAAACAAGCTATCCAACTCAAAGAGCTTTCTCCTCCCCCTCCCAAATCTAACTCCACTTAGGTCATTTCATTATGCGTTACTAATGGTATGCCTAAACTTGGCTTCAGCCAAGTTACCAGTAATTCAGATTTCTATAAATATGCCTTAATCTGGTATATAGTTTCTTGAGAAATGACAGGTATCAACCACCCATTACTTTAAAGGGAAATGACAAATGCTGCAGCTGTACTTCTTGATTAACAGGACATGAACCCATTTCATTTGGAATGGGAACAGCAAGACCTTGACATCTTCTTTACCTTTTATAAGAAAGAGTGGAATTTTAAATTAAAAACGTGCACAGGAGCCATAGAAAAACAGAGGTGAGGTGTGGAACACATCTGTTACAGTCATTCTGCCCAAACCCAGGGAGGGTAGGATGGCTCCTGCTCTGAGGAGGGACCTCATGGGGCAGGACAAGGCTGCAGGACACTGAGGCACATGCTGGGGCAGGAAAGAGCTGCCTGTGCTCTTACAGCTGCTGAGGGAGGACACAGCTCCCCCCGGGCAGGGACAGGCACCAGTGCTTTTGCGTTCAGCAAGAAGTGGCAGCCACATCCCTGCTGCAGCTAACAAGGCTTCCCTGCCTCATATCCACTTACACCAAGATACTTGTTCATTTTTTTTAAATTTTTATTCCATACCTACATGTGCCAAAAAGACAGGTATTTCCTGTGTGCACCATGGTCTGGCCCCTCTCCCTTGTGTGCTGAGGGCTGTAGGGCTGAGATCTGTTGGCCAGGAGAGCAGGACACACAGACACTGTGTGAGCCGTGGGGCTGCTCCATCTCTGAAATGAGTCACTGCTGAGCTGACAGGCAAGGGCAGAACAGCCCCTTCCCACAGAGCAGCTCTGCTGCCCTGGTGCAGCCCATGCTGTTGCTGTGGGACAGGAGATCACTGCCTGGTGCTCCCTGAGCCCTGCAGAGCCCACCATGCTAACGACAGTGCAGGGCTGTGACTGATGTCTCACATGGCCGTGGGACACTTCCACAGGGCTGGATGCAAAAGCAGGAGCCCGGCTGGAATTTGCCTGCAGGTGGAGGGCAGAGAGGCACCTAAGGAGAGGCTTCATCAGCGCTGAACACCCGATCCATGGGAGTAATAAATGCCCAAAACACTGACCATCACTCAGAAACACGACTGTCAGAACCACTCTGCAAAGCATGACAACTTTAAAAAGAAGTTTTCTGTGTTCAATACCTCTGATAAAGGAATCAGGGCACTTCTATTTAGGATACTCACTTCAGGCACCCTAATGCAAATACTTTAGTCTTGGTCTCTAGGAGATGTGAGTGTCTCTCAGCTGTGCCACGATCAAAGGAAATGTCTCAGACAGATCTGAGTAAACCACTGCTCTTGGGCTCGCTGTTCCAGCTACCTCATAATCTACATACACCTCACCAGCAAAGCTGGAGTACTGTTACCCAGTATCAAAAATAGTACACAGTAATGTGGTGTGCAACTGAGGAACTCGAGAAATGTCCCCACAGTGCTATCTCACAGACTCTCAGACTCTGTGGTGATTATTTAGTTATTAAGGTTTTAATTAAATCCTTGCATGCACAAACACATGCTAAGGACTGCCTACGTAGCAACAGCAGGGCATTAAGATGAATACAGGATTTTTGTTTTGAAAGCTGAAAAATCATTAGCAAACACAATTAACTTCAGCAACTGAAGGATTAACTCATCAAATCCTTGCAAGGAGACACTAAAGGTGTGTGCAGGAAAGGGCACAACAGCTGTCAAAGCTCAGGCTCCTGGCCAGCACACAGGCAGACAGTCATCAAGCCTAAATGCAGCAATGCAGAAGCTCACAAGCCCAGAGTTCCCTGCCCCAGGATCCATCCCTGCAGAGCTGAGGGGCAAGGAGGTCCTACCCCTGGAGATCTGCAGGCAAGGTAAGTGATCCCCCTTTCCTGTGCCCAGAGGGTGTGGGCAGCAGGAGCCCTGCCTGTGTGTATGTCAACCCTGCCAGATTTCCCTGGGCCAGCCCGGGAGCAACAGCAAACAGGGCTGTGACAACCGTTCCCCAGCCTCAGGGACCTCCCTCCTCCTGCAGGTCCCCACTTCCCTTACAAATACATACCCAGTGCACAAGTATATTATATCCTATGGTTTTGGCAAGAATAAAACTCCAGTCTACCTGCACCAGGGAGAGAAAACAGATTGCCCATTGGGAAGGCTGCAGGTGAACCCTGTTGTCTGTCTCTGAGCCTGATGTGCCACGTGGTACCTGAAGACAGATGCTTATCCACAAACTGCGGTCCTGGGCCCAACAGACCCACACTTCCAGTCAGCACATCCCCGTTTCCAAGCTGTCAGATGACTGTCCTCCCTTCTGGCTCATGGCACAGCTGCCAGCCCAGGACAGTCCCCCTGTGCTGTCGCTGTCCCCTGTGCCTGTGGATGGCAGGGGCAGCCCGGCACCATTTGACACTCCTGGCAGCTGCAGGTAGCTCACTGGTGCCAAACTGGTGCCAATTCCACAGCTGGCCACCACTGCAGGGAAGACCTGGCCTTGGGTATTTATTATGCTCAAATCTGAAGGTGGTGAGAACTCATTTTTTCCCTGCCAGGGCTGAACTTGGTTTTTCAATGAAAAGGACTTGAGTCTGAGGAGATGCTGCCAGTTACTCAGGAGGCAAGGTGTGCTTTTGTGAGGGGGAATTCCCCTGGAAACGCTGAGGAAGCTCAACCTGGAGGAGCAGGCTCTTGTAGCTCAAGTGCTCTTACAACCATGATACTGAAGGGCTGCCAGGGACACCAGGTTAGGATTGTTTCTGCTTTGAATGCAAAGCAGTGTTAGTCCCAGCTCCTTGCAGGAGCTGAGTGCCTGCTCAGCAAAACCATTCCTATCTCAGTTTTACTTTTATGTACTAGTTTTAGTTTAAATTTCAAAGCAGAATGGTGAATTCAACAGTCCAAATTTTGTCTTTTCATTTTGTAGAAACTGCTTTTGTTTTTAACCTACCTTCTTCATCTTCTTAATTTGACAGCAGAATGTGAGTTCAGAGTCTGTTAACAGAATCTCAGCAGTCAAATAAAACATACTTTTAAAAAATTATTTTAAAGCAATTATTCTTACTGAACACCAAATGCAAGATTTCTTTTTTCATACTGATTCAGTGTTGTTCTGCTCTAAGACTTCAGGCAACAGGAGGTACAGAGAACTTCAGAATTCTCCACTCTCTGAACATAAGCATAAGATCAGAAATATAATTTCCAGTATTTTCTTTCTGTTTAGTTAACCTGAACTCTTTCCACTGCAGGTAGTATTGTTTATAAACAAACTGAACTTAGTCTGCTCAATTCCACTTTTACTGCAGTAGTGGAAATCTTGACTTTTAGTTAATAAATTGTTACATCTGCAGATGTAAACAAATTGAAGGTGTGCCTGAGCAACGAGGATCTGGACACACAATGGTCCCAGATGAATTCCTATCCAGACACTTCAAATCAGGAGTACACAGTTACTTGCAACTACAGATACCTCAAGAAAACATTTAATTGTTATTTTGAATATTCATTTGATGTTTTGTTATTGAAAACTTATTTATCCCTATTCAGACTTAGAATTTTTTTGCTTTTAAATTATATATATGCACATGGCTAAAAAGGAAAGCCTACCACCATGCAGAACAAGAACAAATTGTTCTTTTTGTGTATGCTGAATTGCTCTCTGGCATCACTCAACCTTCTCTTTGATTTATGACATAATAGTGTTTTACTGTAATTTTCTATTTAATAATTTTTTTATGCCAGAATTAATAAAAGTTGGACTTGAAACAGTTCAATTGAAAACAAACGTTAATTAGCCAAGTGACTTGTGACACATGGAAAAAATGGGATGATTCTTTTACAAGCTATATTTAACCAATGGTCAGAACCCACAGTTTCCAGCAGTTACCTATTTTTCTTCCTAGAAAGAATCTGAAAGTACTTTGATGTCTTTTTCCGAGATGGTGGTAAAATGCAGTGGCCCATATAATAAAAAGCTGAAAGACATCAGTAGCCTATTTTCCTTGAAAGATGAGATGATAACACCTAAAATCTGGCTGCCTATTGATGATGGAGCTGGGGCCCTGGCTGGCAGTGTCACGAGACATTTCTCTGTAGTGGCTTTTATGCAGTGACCTCTCAGCCTCAGCCTATTTCCTTACAGAACAATGCTCAATTAAAGCCCTTAAACCTGGCATTTCATTAAGAGGTGAGGAATGAAGCTGACCATATTGATTGATTTATTCTCTCAGTCCCATTTAGACTGTGCTTGAGATATGTTCTTGGAGAAACAGTTCCTACTACTTGATACCTACGGAAAAATGGAGGTTTACATGGGTTGTTGGTCAAGGATCATTACAAGCAATAACCTCCTAGATAAAACAAATTCTCACTCACTGACATACATTTGGAGCACTTGCACTGAATTGAAGGGAATTTGCCAGACTTCAGATCTAAAGGGCGTCTTAGAAGTCTTTAATTAACATAACACCATTAGTACACACTTACTGAACCGGAGGTATGATATGCTACACTCCACTGGAATTACTTCACAGCTTGAGACAAGATCTTGTAAGCTGTCTGTTTTCTTCTCCCACTACTGAATACTCCCAGCACAATCCACACACTGCATTTTTCCTATCTTTTTTATTTTAAAGGCTTGTACCTGGTGCCTTAAACTTCCCGCTTCCCAACAAGAATTCTCCAGGAGGCTGTGCAGAAGTGCATCCAGAGCCTGTGCTAACTTTAGCACGCTCTCCCAGCTCAACCCTAGAGCACTGCATGTACCAGGAGGTGTTCTTGTTAAAAGAA